GGAGCAGAGACCCGATCAGGCTACGACAATGAAAGCAAAGGACACAAAATTTCATACAGATATCTCACAGCTAAATGGAGCAGTGTTCAGACCTTTTCAAACTCTGTATCATCAGGTTGCAGTGAAACAGCTACCCATTATTCCTACTGCTAGCTTTTTGTTCTGTAACAGGAGACCTACAGTCAGTTTACCCGGTTGCTAGAGTCAAAGTAACTGCTTTAGGTTGGTTTTGCATTTACTACAACTTAACACAGCAAATTGAACACTGGTTTAAAAGGGAGCTTTAACTGACAAAAAAATTCTTTTCCTACAAATTTATCCACGCTAAGAGCTCATGCTTTTGTTACTAGAATGAAACTGTATTTGTTACACCTCTCCCAAACCTTGTGAGGAAAGAGGGCAGTAGCTTCTTTGAAGGACAAGTTACCCAGAAGCTCAGACAAGTATAGGTGCTTTCTGGATCAGAGCATTGAGGAGACTTCTGATGTTATAGCTTAACGCTACAAAATGCAAAAACAGCAGTATATAACCCCTTCCCACACAACTGTCAGGGCATAAGGAAACATGCTGTTTTGACTTCAGAACAGGATAAGACGACTGCTTCCTTGCAAGACACTAGCAGTCGCATTATCAGACTCAAGCATATGAAATGAGGAACGGAATGAAACTCAGTATATAATGGTACTTACACATGGCATTACACGCTCCATTTCAAGAGACTAATACTGAAACTTCAGCTGTCAGATTTTAGCCTTCAAAATTCAAAATAAAGGTTTGAACACGCTAATGAGAACTAGAAGCTTTTAAAGAAAACGTGCATCAGACTCACATGATTCCAGCAGTTATTGCTCAAAAACAAAGACTCCAAATATTTCCAAGTCTGAGGGGGAAGACTGAAGGGAATTGCAAAGAGTTTCCAACGCTACTTTGAAAACCAATGCTGTTTCAATATGTAGGTTTAATATAAATAAGCCTCCAAATACCACACAGGAAAGCCAGAAAAAAAAAGTTTGCCTGCTATTTACTCAGCTTTAAATGTCACCGTTTGCCATTTAAAAAGCAACAAATAACCACAAGAAACCCCTATATGGTAGTCCAAATGTTGCCAAAGGCAACGCATTAAGTGGTTAAGAAAAATTGGTGTGGAGAATGTATTTAGGATGACAGACCAAACAAGGTAAGTAAAGAATAAGAGCTCCAAGGACCCAGAACACTGCAAGGCAAACACCGAGACAGCAACAAATGAATATACTGGAGAAGCCAAATGAAGCAAGCAGGCAGAGAAGCAGGAGGAAAGAAACTAGAATTGTGACTGTAGCACCTTCAGTGTGTGAGAGAGATGTCAGCACAAAAACCAGACTACATAGTTGGACTCTAAGGGGAGATCTGGAAAACAAAATAATAACATTGCGGACATCAGCCACAAATGCATTGAAGCCGTGTCAAAAGAGATAGAGCTTGCATATTTGTATCATATCTAATCTTGGAAGTAAGAAGGTAACTCTTCTGCCTAATAAAAGAAAGTTGAGATCATCTCTCTCACTCAACTTTTTGCGAAAGTTAAAAAAGTTTTAAACCACCCATTTCAAGGAGGACACAACCTAATCTTCAGTTCTCATATGTTTAACAGTCATCTGTCACAGCACTCTCTAAGTGACTGCTTTGAAGGCTTCTGGCTGCAAGACAACAAGCCAATGTACCCTTCTGTCACAACTGGCATAATTAGCTACAGTGGGAGGACTGGAAATTTCCTCGTTTCCCAACTGTTTTCATCAGCTTCAACTGTGCAGAACTGGAAGAGACAGACAGTATCAGAATGTTCAAAGCTACAGTACAGAATCATAGAACCATTTAGGTTGGAAAAGACCTTTAAGATCATCGAGTCCAACCACAAGCCTAACACTGCCAAGTCCATCACTAAACCTTGTCACTAAGCACCACATCTACGTATCTTTTAAATACCTCCAGGGATGGTGACTCAATCACTTCCCTGGGCAGCCTGTTCCAATGCTTGACAGCTCTTTTGGTGAAGAAATTTTTCCTAATGTCCAATCTAAACCTCCCCCAGCACAACTCGAGGCCATTTCCTCTTGGCCTGTCGCTTGTTACTTGGGAGAAGAGACCAACAATCACCTCACTACACCCTCCTTTCAGGTAGCTGTAGAGAGCAATAAAGTCTCCCTCGAGCCTCTTTTTCTCCAGACTAAACAACCCCAGGTCCCTGAGCTGCTCCTCATAAGACCTGTTCTCTAGACCCTTCACCAGCTTTGTTGCCCTTCCCTGGACACGCTCCAGCACCTCCATGTCTTTTTTGTAGTGAGGGGCCCAAAAGTAAACATATGAGATACTACAAGTTGATACACTGAGACTGACTATCAGATTAAATTGAATTGTTTTTGAAGTTAGTTCATAGACCTCCACTTGGTCAAAAAAAAAAAAAAGTTTAAAAATATACAAAACCACCTCAGCCAAGTACCTCTGAGCAGTAACCTTCCACTTCCATTAAATATCTAACACATTGATTGCACCAAACAAAATAAATTAAACATTAAAATAGAACAAGTTGGGTATTTAATTTGGGCTGTACGAGTACATTTTCAGACAGCAGGTGAACTACTGCTGCCAGGGAGCAAACCACAAGTACCAGAAGAGTCAGAACATGCAAGTGAAACAAGCACATTTCAGAACAAAACTCAAACTATTTCATGACGGACCAAAAGTGCTCAAGTGGCTAGGAAAAACAGCCTGATGGAAAGGACAGAAGAAAAGCCAAAAGTCTTCCTCTAAAGGCCACTTTTCTTTCCTGTGTTGCTGAAAATCAAAGGAAAAAAAAGTCTGCAACCTAAAGTCACTATCTTTTCTGCTTTTCAACCAATAAAAAGTTTATGTATTTTCTTTAAAAGTGTTAACCATTACAGGATTAAAATAATCTTGTATTTAAAACTGTCAGCTATTCAGAGGATAGGGCAAGCTTCCTCATGCAATTGCCATAGCATGGCTACTCATCAGAACTCAGGTTGAAAAGCCAAGAAACGCAACAGATCTACCTCTGTTTCTTCTTTTGTGTCAGTTGTGGCACTGATTGATTCACTAGCTCCTCCTTCTAAAAAGGCATGGCTTATTTTATAAGAGCAAACAAGAATTAACACGCACTAACTCAGGAAGAAGCTGTAATGAAAACAGTTTGTTGCATTCCAAACATTTAAGTGCTGGCACGGAAAAGAAGATGGCAAGATTTGTCTTCCTTTAATTCTCTACATCCAACAGCTCTTATGGTCAGCATACTGAATTTATCCCTTTACTGTCATTTCATTCAATCAAAATTTAGCGTTCACTTGCTTGCCTGCTGCTACAGATTACTGTAAGTAAGGCTTCAACTGCAGGCACACAGCAACAATGCACTACTGCAACCCATATGTATGAAGGGTTTGAAATACTTCAGGAAATAAGCTTATTTTGTTGGAACCGGAAAACACTCCCAGTATATCTATACAAACTGACCTTGATAACCATTTTTCCTGCAATTATATTAGTAGAAAAAAGAGAAAGCAGAGGCCTATCAAAAAACATGCATTTATCATCTGAAGTCACAACCATTTGGATTCTAAGTACAGCCTAGTTTCAGTGCAGATAAGAATCTGGGATATGGCAAGCTAGCAATGGCATAAATTAGCACATAGGCACAGAAGAGAAAGTACCTTGTTGCTGACACAGGCAAGAGAAACAGCATCTCTACAACAACGCTTCTGTTAAGAGCAGAAGGCTCTATCCATAATGACAGCATTTTGAACATACTATACACTCAGTTCTGCCTAGAAGCAAGCTGTAGCCCCTGAAAAGGAGCCTCTTATTCAAATAACGCCTTTCTCACTTTCCTCACAAAGATACCAGCAGTAGCGGCCCACAGACTGTATGTCTGCAAGATTCCAGATAAACAACCTGTTCATTTTTTGAAGTCTACAAAACAGGTACAAGGATCTACTGAGTGCAAAAGTTATAGCACACAAACACTTCTCATAGTATAAACTTTGTTTAAATTCTGCACAAGGAATACTGGGTTTGAGGTGTTTCAGAGTGCTTTTCCAAGCCTCAACACTCCAGCTGTACTGCAATCTCCATTTACATTTGAGGGTGCTCAACACTTTATTGGCAATTATAGAATATACCAAGATCCCCTATTGCACACCCTAGTGGTGTGCAAAAGCAAACATTAAAGGAATTTTCTTGTACAACTCAGTTTCTGAACAGTTTGGATGGCTGATAAGCAAAGTGAAATGAGGAAGTGAAACTACAAAACACTTGTTAATTCAAGAGTGTGTTACCTGAGGTCCAGGGTGAAGTAGGGTGGGGGTTGAGGGGGCAAAGAAGAGAAAGAACTACAAATAAACTGAATATACTGGAAAATATAGAGCAAAAAAAACCCAGATAAAAAGTTAAAGGGCCAGCATCACAGCATGTGTTTGGACTGTATCTCTTCACACATACAAGTAACAGGAAAATCTAGTCCTCAAGGCAGTACTCAGTTCTCCTCTCTCTCCTCCTCATACCATAATAGCCAAGAAGCTTGCATCTTCTCACTCCTATTAACCTAGATGTATTTCCAGGATATCAGAAAGCAACAGTAAAAGAATTGCAAGTGTTGCAACTCAAGAATGTTTTTTTTTTTTCTTGAGGCATTAGCAAATGGTCCAGCAGGCTTACAATGACTGTGAAAACACTGATACTAAAAATCCCTCCCCTAAAAAACCACACACACCCCCGCCCATCCACATATGTGTGGCACACACATGCAGGAAAGGGAGAGAAGGAAACAATGGAGCTTGCTGTTTGCAGTTCAACATTTATCTGCCTCTTACCCTACCTTCTTCTATCCTTGAGACATTCTAAGAAGGAGGAAAAGGTTACCACCAGCAAGCTATTTAGCAATCCTTCCTCAGAACACAGCATATTTAGATGCATCTATCTCAATTAAAATAATAAATAAAACAGGCTCCGAAGTAATGAAACAAGTCAATCAGCATCAGGGGAGAGGGGCAGAAAAGAGGGGCAGAAAAGAGGGGCAGAAAAGAGGGGCAGAAAAGAGGGGCAGAAAAGAGGGGCAAGGTGAAAAGGAGGTTTTTAACCATAAGCTCTTAAGCTCAGAGGGGCAGAAAAGAGGGGCAGAAAAGAGGGGCAGAAAAGAGGGGCAGAAAAGAGGGGCAGAAAAGAGGGGCAGAAAAGAGGGGCAGAAAAGAGGGGCAGAAAAGAGGGGCAGAAAAGAGGGGCAGAAAAGAGGGGCAGAAAAGAGGGGCAGAAAAGAGGGGCAAGGTGAAAAGGAGGTTTTTAACCATAAGCTCTTAAGCTCATACACAAGCATTTAAGAAAAAGACTAGAATTCAAAAGCTTGCACATCCAGAAGTTCTCACTGAAATAACTGTTTGCTCATCACTTGTGATCTAGCACCTGTATGTATAAATATAGACTGTATGCCTGAAGTTAGACTCATATTTTCAAAGTCTTGGCTGCTGTCTTTATATGAGGATTTCTTTAGTGTCTCTGATTATAGTACTTTTTACATCTGAACTTTCTTCTCTGTGAGAATCCACCTTTCTCTCCTCTCCTAACCACATATTGCAAATGCATCTAGCATTTCCCTGTGCCTTACACACAATGCAGTGCTTACACAACTTTCATTGTTTGTCGGCTTTTGGTAAAAGGACAGTATTTCTCTGTAGAGATGTCCCTAGCATGTTTAATTTACCTGGTCACCACCAATCCACAGCAGGTTTTTCCTTTAACCGATCTGACAGCTCCTTCCCTCCTGAGTGAGAGCCTCTAAGGCTAGCTTGCATCCTCCATAAGACAACATTTTTGTCAGCTTTCTGTTTTCCAGAACTGAGCTTTTTACTGCAGCTTTTTAAGAATCAATTCCACCTTTCTAAAAGCAAGGACCCACTTGAACCTCTCATTATTCTAATTCTGCACACATACGTGATAGGAAATCAGGAGAATTGGTCAAATCACATCAGGCATACAGCCACAGGAAAACACACACAAATTCAGTAATTAACGCTTCCTCCTGTCCTCAGAACAAGTGTTGCAACCAGACACAGCAGCATTTAACTTCCTATCAAACTAAAGCTACACCACAGGGGCCCCTGCATTCTGTGGGACTAACTTACTATAACCAATCCAAAAACTAAGTTTAAAAAAAAAAAAACCCTATTGTTTAGTGTTTTTCTGGAAACTGTAGGTCTTTGATCACTGCGATCAGACAAGATGGTTAGCTTTCATTCGTGAAAAAGTAAACAGCCATCAGATGTAGGGGGGGAAAAAAAAAAAGGAAAGATCACCTAATTCAAATAAGGTCCTTTACTCGCTTTCCAGGAACCTGACTTTTGATATTTAAGCACTCAAAATTGCAAAGCTACAAATCAGACAGACATAGCTGAAACTCCTGTGGAGGCCTGTATCATTCTTGCTGGAGAAAGAACTAGAGGGTCAAGCACACCACATAGGCCACAACATCAGGTGTCAAGGGCATGACTGGAGATGGAATTTCAGGCAGAAGACTAAATTTCCTGCCTCCTGTCATTGAAAGCCAGGCCCCCTCGTGTGATTTTAAATGGACTTTTTTGGTATGTGCAGCACATCAAGCTCTGTTTGGGACTGAAGTCTTTTTTCCTTTTAACTAATTCACAAAAATATTGGTTCTCAAAGAAAATGGTATAAACAAAGTAAAGAATATGTACTTTGTCTTAACTTCTGTGAAATAACTTCACTGTATTAGACACGCTACTTTTTTACGTTACAAAATAATCTGTGAAGCCTTGAAGTTACAGCATAAGGTTTAAACTGTGTGACATTTTCCAAATATCAACACTACTCTCCCTCTCCTACAAGCTTCTTTAAACTCTGCTTACTTTGAACAATCTAATTTACTCATGATATGTACCACAATTAGACTTAATTTTGCATCCACTGTTGCATACAGACGAGTCAGGTTTACTTCTACCTGTAATCAGTCTAACGCAAATCTCATGTATAAGGTACAGTGACAGGTACAAGAGTCTGCAACTCTTCAGCTGTTGGAATAACCAATCACCTAGGCTCAGTGCAAGTGCCTACAGCATTACTTCAAACAAAATGAGATGTCTTTAGCTGATTAAACAGCATGCTGGTGCTCACATCCTTCTAACCCTTCCTCACTCAGTCTTCCTAGAGTTGATAATCTAGACTGAATCATTACTGGAAATAGGTTTGGGGTTTGTTTTTTTTTTCCTTTTTCATGCATCTTTCAAAAAATATAGTTAGGGCAGACACCCCTCCCCCCCAAACCAATACAGTTGGTTAGTCTAGCGCTCTCCAGTTAATACTGCATCAGGACATGGTTGCCTCCAGAGCTATCCATGCTTCTTGACAAGGATTAATGGCACAGGAATGTGTCTCTTCAATTCTGCAAGCTGTGAAGTGTCAGATATATTAAGCCTTTCATATGAGGATCTCTCAAGTTGAAGAGAGACACGCTGTAGTACTCTGAAGAGAATGAATCCATGGGGAAAGAGGACACTGCTTTGAAGATGAAGCAGTATGATGCCTTGTATAGCACAGAGAAAGGATGAGGTAGAGCTGGTTATCAAGCATCAATCTACATTTGCTGAGAGTGCATTCAGCCACTTTTTATAAATTAAACTGAGAACTGAAGTGAACTGTTACAGCAAAACTGAAACTGACAGTCCATATGCTGTGAAGAGTGCAAAACGAAGACCAAATATGGCTCAAGTGTCAACAAGTATTTTTAAAATTGTAGTATGAACAATCAAGAGATGAAGGAAAGTGCCTGCACTGAACCAAGCTTATAAAAAAAATTATAACTGCATTTCAAAACGATCAAAGATGTATGAGGAATCATTTTGCAAGCTACACAGGAACAAGAAAAAGCACAAGGTCTACACATGGTCCTGTACAAAGCTATTACAATAACTTTCAGATACATACACACATACAAGTACCTAATATTCAAGTTTATAGATGTGTCTCTGGTTTAACGTCACAATAATTTAAGCAAAAGCTAAAAATGATACTTTGATATAAGAAATCTGAAGCACATCCCAAGGCTTATCACTTTAAAGATTCAGGATCTTTAAAACTTCAAAAAGATACTGCTAAAGACTTGGTTTGCCATGTTACAAACACATTCATCTTGGAACATAAACAGAGGCTTCCTAACTTTTTGGCTCTAAGAAAAGTCCCTATTACCTATGTCTGTTTCCTTCCAGCAAGATTGCTGTGTGCGACAACGAAGGTGATACTTTCAGTTCTTCCTAACTTAGCCCTGCTGTTCATGCACGACAAAGTAGAAAGTGCAGGCAATAGACCTGTCTTTCTGTGCACGTTCAGCTGTTTGGTTTTTTAACTCAAAAAGATTAAGCAGATACTTGCATATGCCAGTAAGCAACACACGGTAAGAGAGATTTTTGTATCTTGTAGGTTCACCTTCACTTTGTTCCCCAAAGTAAAAAGTGAAAGACTCCACAGTTCCATGTATTTAAAAAAAAAAAAAAGTGATAGAATTAACCAGATATTTCAAAGCATCTGTTACCTTGCAACAATTTTTCTGTGGTGAGACAGTAAGTGCTTTTTCTCAAGAACAAAAACATAATGTGCTATGCAGACAGCGAACAGTCCTAACAGACATCTTGTGTGATGCATTCATTCTATTTCAGTGCTGGAAAAACGTCGCAACGAAATGGAATGATTTCTTACCTTTTGCCTTACAGACTAGCCTAGTCTTCCTAACACCTGAGTTATTTCCTGCTCTGTTTTAAACCCTACTTCTGCTGCAATGACTCTTACTCTTCTCCTCAGATCCTACAGCGAACTTCTCACACAGTCCTCAGTCACTAAGGGGGAGTGCAACTACTACTGCATCAGACAAGGTTACCACTACGCTTCTGTAGAGGTCAAATCCCTAGGGTCCTATGGTCCAGATGAATGGTCTTCTCCTGACCCCGAAGCAAGTATATGCAAGGCCTGACTCTTAATGACTCCTGTAAGGGAAAAGCTAATGAGCCCAAACAACCAAATTAACAGAGGAAATAACACAGATGTGTGCTGGCTGGACTACCAGTTCTACAACAAAAGCAACAAAAGGGACAAGCAAATAATAGCAATAGGTACTATAGTTTTATACTACATAACCATTCTTGTCATCAAAGCATACCTTCCTGGAATTAAATATATTCCATTCTAATACCCAAGTCCATACCAGGAGGGGTACAAATAACCATAGTTTAACAGAGGACGCAACACCTCTGACATACTTTCAGTAAGGCTAAACTTACACTTCTGGTACTTGGGTTTTATACCTGCAAAGGTGCAGACTGCCTCTACATATTACACTTTCCAGCACTGGCATCAGTACAGCACCACTGAAAGAACTGCTCTTCTTCCTATTCCCAGGGAAGTATATATAATGAAGCTGTAACTCTAACAAACGCTAAAGAAAAATATCTGAACTAAGGACAAAAAGAATAAAGCATGCAAGCAGAGATTTATTACAGTATTAATCCACGGGTCATGCTATTCATTGGCTGAGAGATCATAAGGATCAATTTAATCTGCAGAATTTTACACATACTTAGAGTTCTTATAAAGTTTAAACAGCAGTCCTCCTGCAGCATCTTAGAGCCAGGAGGCATTTAAAAATGCCAGCCGTTGGCTGCTGAAAGTCATCTGAAAGATATCCTTTGTCATCATAGCATGCTCATCTGTATTTAAAGTTACTTCAAAGTAAATTCCATCTTTTTTACACTATGCTGTATCAAAACTCATTCCCCCAAAACAAAGATTTAAGTTACGTTAGGTTAGATGTTAACAGGTATATTCTCAGGGCTGTCAACAAAAACATCCAAGAGAAAGTCTGCACAGTTGCTCACTTTGTTCCTCCAGAAAGTCACAGCAGTTGCCAGTTCCATAAGACCATAAAGTAAATAACTTGACATACTGCCTGAGACCTCTAATACACTCAAGAAAGATGCCTTATGTACGCAGCCCTCTGCTTTTTTGCTCCTCCTCTTGAGTTTTCTTTTTTCAATATTACAGTCAGAAAGACTATATAAAGTGCCTAAGGAAGATTTCAGTAAGGGCAGTTAATTAAAAGCACAAGATACTAAGGAATACAAACTGATCTGGAAGCTTCTAATCAGTATGGCTTGAGTGTACACATTAGGTAATACCTAAACCTTTAATCTTACATGAAGTCAAGGGCTTCCCTAATAATTCTCTAAATTGTTTGGGTTTTTTTTTGCTAGAAATTGGATCGCAGTATCCAGCAGATGAATAACACTTTCTAACAGGATGAAGCTGAGAGCCCCTTTAT